TTCAGGTCTCAACCCCCAAGCCCAGTAGGGGTTCCTCTTCTGTGCTTCCCAAGCACCTTCTGTGTCGTTCATTGCAGTTCTTACCCCTGTGGGTCCCCACCCCTAGCCTGCCTTGTTCACAGCTGTGTCCCCGACACCAGCTCAGATCCTGGCACTAGAACGTGCTCCATAAAGATTTGCTGAGTGGATGAATTTTTGAGCTGGGAAGGCCCTTATACATTCCAGATCTCTTTTCCCTTCCTTGTCTATCAATCCCTAAATCTTACATAAAAGGAAGTAGATGCACATGTTAAGTAATATAGCTGAGAGACAGTCAGAACTGGAATTCATCCATCCATTCATTCATTACCTCACTCATTCACTCAACCCTCCACTTCTTGGGCATCTACCCTGTGCTGAGTGCTGAAGATACAGAGATGAACACAGCCTTCTCCTGCTCTCTAGAAACTCACAGCCTAGGGGAGGGGCTGACACAGGTCCTAGTTAGGACACGGTTTAGGCTACACAAGACAAACCAGAATAACAGGGGCTCAAATGAGAGAGGTTACTCCTCATTCATATGAAAGTCTAGGCCTATCTGGCAACTCATTTCCGCGAAGCCACCAGGGGCCCAAGCCCCTTCTATCTTGTTGCTCACTACAGGTAAGGGTCAGAAGCAGAGCTGGGAAGAGGGGCTGTCATGCCAGTGATCACAAAGCCTGGGAGAGAAATAAGGAACACGGAATGTGCGGTGCACGGGGGACATTCTGGCAGGTCCCTGGGCCCGGCCTCCCTGGGTTAGGTTTCCCAGTTGTGGCCAGTACATGGGAAAGTTGCACCTGTTTAAATGCTAGGCATGGGGCCGGCAGCAGGAGCAGAGAAACCTGAAAGGGGGAACAGATCTGAAAGAAACTAAGGAGGTGGAATCTACAAGACTTGGTCCCAACTGATAAAGGAGGTGACGGTGAGGGAGAAGGCAGGCATGCAGGCTGAGCCACAAGATGATCCCAGTGCCACACACCAGGGGGAGGAAAGGGAGGCAGAGCCAGGGAAGCTGAGTGTGAAGTAGCGTGGTAGGGGAGCTGCCAGGAAGCAGCTGGAGATGAGTGAGGAGTGCTGGGAGATGGGGCTGCGGGTTTGCGTGGGCAAGTCATCGTGATGGAAACTGGAGTCAGGAGGGACAAGTCTGCCCGGGGGAGTGCTCAGTGCAGTGAATTTCTACCTTGGCTGTACATCTCAATCCCTCGGGAGCTTCCATGAACAGGATGGGAACCTGGGCTTTCCTGTGCTCCTCACTCCCACCACAAAGAGATTCTGATTCTAAGACGGGGTGAGGCCCTATCTGTGACTCTGGGCTCTTTTACTTGCAAGAGAAGAAACCCAACTTAAACTGGCTTGAGCAAAAATGACTCCTGTAATTGAAAAGCTCAGTCATGGATGAGCTTCAGGCACGGTTTGATCCAAGAGTTTAAATAATGCCTTCAGGACTCAGTCTCTCTTCACCTCTGCTTGCCTCTGCGTTGGCTTCATTCTCAGGCAAGATCTGTACCAACAGTGACAAGATGCCCCTTGCAGCCCCGGTTGATATTCTTTTAGAAAGCCCTTTGCAAAGAAATAGCTGTGCCTTCCCAATCACTCCAGCCTGATTCTCACTAGCCTGAACTGGGCCACATGCCCATCTCTGGCCCAATCACTGTAGCCAGGGGAGGTGGAGACCCTAATTGGTTAGATGAGTTCACATACCCTAGAGCCAGGTGTGGGGTCAACCCCATCAGAGCCACGTGGACTGAGAGTAAGAAGGTCCTCCAAAGGAAACTGAGTCCAGTTATGAGGAGAAGTGGGAATAGACTTGGGGCAGATAAAATGACAGGTGTCTGTGCTCCTGTGGCCTCCACAGGTGATTCTGATGAGCAGCCAGGTTAAGAGTTGTGGGCAGAATCGTCCAGCAGAAACCCGTGACAGAGTCCAAGAGATGTGACACCATTTTTGACATGGGGAGAGGAAGAGGAGTCTTCAGGGAGGACTGAAAATCAAGCCAGAGAGATGGGAGCAGACGGGGCCGTGGGATCTCAGGAGCTGGGATGGTGAGGGTTTCGGGAAGAGGGAAGTCGACACTGTCAAAGCCACAAGGGAGAGGAAGAGAAGTGGGGTTTGCTGCATAAAACTGGGCTTGGAGCGAATGGCAGGATTTTAGGGTCCAGAGAACAGGTGAGTGGAGGGTGGACTTCCTGGCAGAGGGTCCAGAAGGAACAAATATGTGGAAGCAGAAAAACACAGAAAATACTTTAGGAACAGCACAGCCTGTGAGCATAGGGCATTTTTTCTTAGCTTTCCATCCTGGTACCCAGAATATGCATTTTTATCTAGGAGGGTAACCATGGCCACAGACCAAATTCAAACTCTTTGGGTTAGCGTTGAAAGCCCTCTCTCTTTTTGCTACAAACAAGAAATTCCTCCTGAGCCACAGGACCCCTGCCCTTCTTCCTGGGAAACCCTGAAGCACCTTCTTGTGGCCTTGACACTGTTTTGTGGATTTCCACTATTCTGCCTTACGTGGCAGTTGTTTCTGAATATACCTTGTCTTCCCTACTGGACTTAGAGCTCCTGGAAAGCAGGGTCCTTTCATCGCCATGTCCCAAGGTCCCAGCCCCCTCTTCTGCAGAAAGAGGGTTTGAGATAAGCCCAGTTACTATGTAACATCTGCCTGGGTGGGCAATGCTTAACCAGAAGGGAGAATTCCCCAGGGTAAGAATTTTAGACAGTGTGTGAAGAAGGGAAGGGACATCTGGGGATAGGCCACCACTCAGGCTAAGGCCTGCCTCCCACAAGCTGCTGCCCCAGGCTATCTGTTGTGGGAAAATGGATGCTGTGACTCATTTGCTTCTTCTTGGGATTGAAATTTCTTCCTGTTTTGCAACTGGGAGCCCAGAGATGGCTGTATCTTAGCTGGCACCAGCAGCCATGGTCTCCTAAAGGAGGAAGCAGATATCATTCCTTGAGTGCCTACTATGTGCCAGGCACTGTATCAAGGACTTTACACGCATTACCTCATTAAGTTCTCCCAAGCTTAAGTTCTCCCAGTATATAAATGAGAAAACGGAGACTCAGAGATGTTAAGTAATTCCAAAATTGACAGAGCCATGATTTATACCAGGGCTTCTCGGACTCCAGAGGACCCGGGGAAGCCCCTGGTGTTGGGCCATGTCGTTTCTGATGCTGGGGTCAGGCTAGCCCCGCATCCTTGCCTTCAGTTCCCCGTCACAGAGGATGCTCCAGCCCCAAACTTCTTAGGTTTCTCTGGCTTAGCATTTCTGAGGGTCCCTAAAGCCCTGAAAGGGAAAAGATCAGCTTGTGGAACAAGGAAGGAATGAAACTACCCCCCAGTTCAGTTCCTCCATTCCCTCTAGCCTGGGGTGTGGGGGAGGAAGCCCAAGCAAAGTCCCTGAATCCCCTGGCAGGTACCTCTCAGTGCAGAAATTCTCCGGCGCCCCCTGGTGGTCCTCAACACTACCGTGTTCTCTCAGGGATGACTCTACAGCCCAATTGAGGCATCCCATCACAGGGGATGGGAAGCAGAGGCGCACTTCCCTAATGTCCGGCACCTAGGAAATGCTAGAGCTGGGACTGACCCAGAGCTCCTGGCCACCAGCCCTTTCCACAGCATCACTCTCTATCCCTGTAGTCCTCCACAGTAGCTGACTGACACAGCAGTCATTATTAGGACATTTATTATTTATGATATAATACTATGTTGCTATGTGAATCTATTGAATGTGGCACACTATTATATATTAAGCCCAATCAGGTCAATATATAAAATGTGAAGTTGGCACACCCTGCTATTATAAAATAGAATCACAACCACACTCCTGTCGCCCCCGCCCCCATTTCACATTCCAAGGCCAGCCTTTTCTCCCCTGCCGGCGGTTCCTGGGAAGTAGGCTTTCTCCATAAACTCAATCCCACCACCTCATTTGCAGGAATGTCAAGAGACACAAGGAGATACAGTCTCTGGGGATACACATGTTACTTAAAGTGGGAGAAGTGACAAGAGAAGAGAGGAAGCTACAAAATGCCCTTCAGGCAGCTTTTCTCTGCTAGAGTGTGGGAAACGACAGCAGGAGGGAGCGGAGTCAGCCCTAAGGAAGGAGGATGGAGTGTGAGTGTGTGTGAGGATCGCCCACCTTTGACGGCTGGGATGGTTGGGCTGGTCTGACGGCAGAGGGATGGAATGGGTCTCAGATCAATGGCAGGCGAGAAGGGGAGGGATCCGCACCGGCCGGCAGCAGGGCTGATCTGCCTCTCAGATGCCCTGGAATAAACCCTTCTGCTCAGTTTTTATTCTGTGTCTTGTGTCTTGGTCCTGAAAGAGAGAAAAGGGTGCCAGTTCTGCTGCCCCCTGGAGGGCTGACTTTTCGCCTCGGAGGAAAGATTCGGTTGGCGGAATGAACCACACCAAAGACGCTGGGGGAGCTGCAGGGCTCGGGGGTACCGAGCCCAAGGAGAAGCGGGTTCTAGGAGAAAGGGAGAGGATAGGACTTGGTGGGGGGGGGGGGAGGCCGCAATGGCGGCCAAAGAGATTCAGATCCTCCTGCACAGGACGTGGAGATCCATCTAGATGCTCGACAATAACTCAGTCGGGCTCTTTGCAGGATCCCAAAGGCTGGCTTTGCCACCTTGTCAAAAAGCAGAGTGATGCCTGGCCCCGTGGCTCCGGTGGAAGAGGAAGAGGACTCTCGGTGTGAATCCGGAGAAAGGGAGAGAAGCGAAGCCCCGACCCCCTTCCTGCCTATAAATAACTCCAAGTGTCACTTCAAAGGGGACAGGGAGCGCGGGTGAGGGGCTCCCGGGGCCGGCGGGTTGGGGCAGCGGGCCCCGCACACCACGCCCCCCACCCCGGGCGAGTTTGCATAAATAAACAAACCCAAGCCGCCGGCCCCGCAGGAGGTGGAGGAGGAGAGAGGAGGAGGAGGAGGCAGGGGGCGGGAGAGATTAGTTTGGGAAGTAGCACGGATTGCTCATCCGATCCCTGCAGCCGCAGCTCGTGTGTCAAGTTACAGAGGCGCCGGAATCGGCCCTAGCGCTCCTCGGCAGCGGCCACGACCCACCTCTGCCCATGGGGCCCTCCATGTGCGCCCCTTCGCCCAGAGACTGAAACTGGCTCGCCCGGGGTACGCGAGACGCCAAGAAGGACGGACAGCGCAGAACCAACTCGAGGACTCTGCAGACACTTGAAGGCAAACACGGGGCGGAGAGAAGGACAGCCGGCCGGATTCCCCTAACTTTCATGGACTGGAAACGTACTTCGAAGTAACTTTTTTCTCACCTGGGTGTACCCCGATTACTGCTGGTTGTGCTTTTTCGGCTTTCCCCCTCCTGCTGCTAATTTTTCCATCCTTTTTGCCGGGAGCAAAGGAAAGGGACTTTTTCCAGCGACGCAAGCCCTTTCCCCCTGCCCCGCCGCTTGGATCGCGCCTTTGGGCAGCGGTTCTCGCCTTTATTTATTCTATTTATTTATTTATTGGTTCTCAAGAAGCCAGAGGATGGTAGCGGAGCGCCCCGGCAAAGCGGCAGCCGCCGGTGCCCGCGGCCCTGGAGAGTTGGGCACTCCCGGGACGGTGGCGCTGGCGGTGGCGCCGGCGGAGCGCTGCGCGCGGCTGCCGAGCCCGGGATCGTGCGGGCTGCTAGTTCTGGCCCTCTGCTCGCTGGCGCTCAGCCTGCTCGCCCACTTTCGGACCGCCGAGCTGCAGGCCCGGGTGCTGCGCCTGGAAGCGGAGCGTGGGGAACAGCAAATGGAGACGGCTATTTTGGGACGAGTCAACCAACTGCTGGATGAGGTCTGTGCTCTTTGTTGCTGACTTTTATCCCTCCCCGCGGCGCCCCCTCGCGCAGCCTCCAAACTCTCCACCAGCCTGTGCCCGCTGGCGCTTGCTCTCCACGCCGCGCGGTGCGCCCCGGGGCTCGCACGAGTTGTCTGCGGGAGGGGTAGGGGACAGGGACAGACGCTGCCTTACCAGGGACTCGGAGGACCCGAGTGGCTTGCGCGGGACCCCTCAGCTCCCGCCTCTGGCAGGCGCCCCCACGTCCCGCGCTGGAAACGCCCTGGGCGCGCCGGGCAGGTGGAGGAAGGCATGGCGCGCGGAGGTGCGCGGAGGCGGCCGGGCTCCCCCTTTCCCTCCCGACATCCCGCCAGGGCGTAGTGAGAGCCAGCGGCTCAGCGCCCACGCGGCGGGACGTGTGCCCGGCGGCTCCTGGCCGAGGCTTGCTGGGTCCCCGCGGCCCTCCCCATCCATCGCTCGAGGATCAGTGCTGCCTGACTTTTATTGCCACCTTCCTTTGGGAAGAGCATTGAGGGAGTGAATCATCCATGGGGCTGAGGGGGCCAGAGTGGGCATTTCTTTCAGGGGGTAGTGTCTTGGTCCCTGCCCACTGCCCCAGACCTCTAGGGCCCAGGTATGGGTCACCCTGCCTCTGCTGTCCTTGGACACGAATTAGCCCATGCTCTCCTGTTCTTAAGGCGGGTTTCTTATTCCCTGCCCCTTGTAATGGTCCCCAACATTTTGTGTCTGTGTGTCTTTCTGGGAAAAGGATGCTGAGCTTTTTCCCATTCCTGAAATATCCTTGAACACAAGTGAATTAAAAGCCACTAGTGTCTCTTAGCCATGGCAATCTTGGAAGCGCATGAAAAGACCCCACCCTCCCCAGGAAGGAGGGACATGCAGTCTCATTGGTGCCACCAGAGGAAAGACTGGGCAATGAGAGCTTGAGGCCTGGTGACTTACGGGAATCTGGGCAGCACAGGGGATCCAGGGCCCAGATGAAGGGAGGGACCCCAGGGCTGCAGTCTGGGAAGAGGTCCTGGACCAGGGTGGCCATGGAACGTTTCCATGGGAAAAACTGGAAAAGGCCCTTTTAGGAAGAGGTGGTGTGGGACAGTGAAGAGCCCAGTGGTGGAGTCCAGCAGACCTGGGTTTTCTCCCCACTCTGCTACTTAGAAGCTGTGCAACCTGGGGCAGATACCCTAACCCTGCGAGCTTGCACAACGTTGATGATGATGGCGAGCGTTAGATCCCAGCTCTAACTGTGGTGGGTGCTGTGGCCGCTCTGGAATGATGCACCAGCTCCCTACAGCCAGGCTCCTCTCAGGTGCCTCTACCAGGCAGAGGCTGCTCCCTGCCAAAGCAGCTCTTCAGGGTGGTCAAGGAAAGGGAGATCACAGGCCAGAGCAGAGAGGGCGGTCACCAGGCAAGCTTACTAGTGCTAGTGGTGACCCCATGACTGCTGCCATCAGCTCTTTCCCATGCCCTGCCAGGCCCCAGGAAATCCAGAGGGCTCTGTCAGATCATCCACGGTCCCCTGGGCCTGGGGTGGGGTAGGGGAGCCTCTAGGCTCAGCAGTGTGAGCAGGCAGCCTTTGCTGGCTGAGAGCCGGACTGACTGGGCTCTGGAGAGGGGTGAGGGCAGTGAGAGCTTCCCCAGGAATCTTGGGGGCCCTTGCTGCTGAGGGGCAAGCATCTGACCCTGGGAATTTCACTTGGTTCCTCTTGCCCTCCTCTCCCCTTCCCAGCCCCTCCTGCTGGCCTGAGGGTGCCCCAGCCATTCCCAGATCCTTGCTTCCTCTGCTGAAGAGTAGCCAGGCCAAGTCTCATGGCCTCAGGGCCTTGGGCTGACAGCCTGACCTGACAGGCTGATTCCTCCTCTCCAAACTGCAGCTTCATGTTTACCCTACGGTCTTCTAGACCTCTCATCTGCAGAGCACCTGAACTGATCCCCATTTTACAGATCGGGAACATAAGGCCCAGAGAGGGGCAATAGGTTACCCAGGGCCACATGGCTCGATCCAGGACTAGAACCTAAGTCCCCTGAATCCGCTTCCAGGGCTCTTTCCACCAGGTCCTGCCACCTTCCTTTGTCTCTTCTCAATCATTCATTCAGCAAATGTTTCCTGAAAGCCAGCTGTGGGTCAAGCATTGTGGGGGACACACTTCTGCCCTCCTAAACTTACAGGCAAATAGGACACAAAGAAGAAAATGGGCAGTGACTATGTCGTGTGAAAAATGCTACGATAGTGGAAGGAGAGGAGGCCTGGGGAATGTATTAACATGCAACATAGCCTGATGGCGGTGGCTTCCTGGGAAAATGATTTCCAAGCGAAGACTTAAAGGGTGAATAGGAGTTTTCCAGGCAAAAGGAGATGAGTGTCGGGGACTTGTTCTAAGGGGCAAAGGGACAGCTTCTGGAGGCTGGAAGCCAGAGGGAGGGGTTTGCCTTGGGAAACTGAAGGAAGTCCCGACCCTGGAGGGCTGGGAGGGTGGAGTGGGGGGAGGTCTGGCTGGAAAGAGACAGGTAGCCTAGGTCAAGAGGGCCTTAGAGACACTCAGATCTATGTCAGAGCAATGGGGAGCCATGGAAATGTCTCGAGGGCAGTGATGTCCCTAGAATGGGAGCTTAAGGCAGAGCAGGGAGGCCAAACAAGAGGCTAGTGCAGGCCACAGGGGACCGTGACCCAGACTGGGGGTGCAAGTGGGGACCGAGAGGAGTGAATGGAAATGGTGGCCGCAGTGGTGGGACCTCCGGTCAGTGGGGGAGGGCATTGGAGCCAGAGGGAAGGAGCTGGCCTGCGGGTGGTGGGGGTAGGTGGCCTAGTTTGCGTGGAGATGGCCCTGGGGGGCATCCCCTGGGTGGGGCCTGCAGCCCAGGGGATCATGGAGGGACTTTCTAAGGGTTGCACTGTCTAATATGGTAAGCACTGGCCACATGTGACTCATTACATTTAAATTAATTAAAATTTAGCTCCTCAGTCACACTAGCCACATTTCAAGTAAGTGCTCAATGGACACCTGTAGCTGGTGGCTACCATTTTGGACAGCACAGGTATAGAACATATACATCACTGCAGAAAGTTCTATGGGGCAGGGCTGCGCTAGGAACAAACTGCTTCTGGGTCAGCAAAGGTGTCCCCGGAGCAACTTGAGGCCTTTCCTCCACCCTAGGCCCTTCCTTTCCTAGGCATGTTCCCTCCCCAGGTCTAGCAAAGGACAGAGGTGAGGAAGGGGTGAGGCAGAGAAGGGAGAACTGGGACCAGAGGAAGCCGGGGAGAAGAGAAGGCAGAGGAGAGGGGGGAGTGTTGTGTTATAGAGTTGTTCTATGAAGTGATGCGCAGAGGGCTCCAGCTCTCAAGGGGCACACAGGCACCTCGTAAGCGTAGGGGCCCAAACCGGGATTCTAGCCACATGGCAAAGCCTTAGGCAAGCCACGCCACCCCTCAAACCTCAGCTTCCTCCTCTGTTAAGCCTCGGGGTTGCTGTGAGACTCAGGAGATGGCAGGTGGAGGAACGCAGTGAAAGGTACCCCACCAAAGGCCATGCTCGGGACCACAGGAGTGCTTCCGGAGGGCTCCCAGGGGCCTGGGGCAGGCAGTCCATCCTGGAGCAGGTGGGCGTGGGCCGCTCCTGGAAGCATGGAAGAAGGGCAAGGCAGTCCTGGTGAGGCACACAGCCTGTGCAATGGCCTGGAGGCAGGAATCCAGGGGCATGTGCACAGCACACATCCCAGTGGGGAAAGCAGCATGCTGGGGGCCAGGACTGCGTCTGTGAGGCTGGAGGAGGAGGGAGCTGGCGGGGAAGGCCAGGCTGAGGGGATCCGGTGGGAGAGGAGCCTGGGATGAGGCAAGCCAGGGGCAGATGTGAGCAGAAGGCCCAGATCGGAGAGGCCAAGCCACTGGGAGGGGAGGGTCAGAGCCAGGGCAGGAGGGGGTGGGGAAGCCAGTTCGTGGGGAGCTGGGAGTGTGGCTTCCAGATCTCAGGCCCCAACTCCCCCCCATCTGCGCCTCTCTCCTGGTCTGGGACCCTTAATGAGCGCTCCAGCTGCCTGTTACTTGATTTGCTTGCCGTGTAGAAAGAAACTGGAATGTCCCAAATGGAGGAAATCAGATGTCACCTAAGGCTGGTGCAGCGAAAGAGAAGGGACAGGAATTTAAAATAGCCAAATCCCTTCTGCAGGCCGAGGGAGCCGGGGTGCCAGCCGCCACCCTCAAAGTGAGTGTTGGGGATCCCAGGCTGACACCCCATCCCTAACAACAAGAACAGCAGCAGCTCTAACAGGAATGTCTCATGTTTATAGGGCACATACGGTGACCAGTGCTGTGCATGTTCCCCCTTTCAACCCTCGTGGTTTCCCTAAGGGGCTGACACTGTCATTACCCCATTTTACAGACGAGAAGACAGATGTCGCTCTACCTCTTCTGCTATGTGTGATTCAATCCTTTGGGCGTTCAGGGCATTTTCCACCTCCAGGAATTCCCTGGGAGAGGAGAGGGCTGAAACTTCCAGGCTAAGATGTTGAGGAACCCCAGCAGACTCCCTCATCCCTAAAAATGATCATAACAACCATTGTACCAGGAATGTCTCACACTTATAGGGTGTGTACAGGGGCCTTCTGTTGGGTCCTTTCCAGAGGAGCACCTAGGGGAGAGATCAAAGCAGTGGCTGAAAGATTGGGGCCCTGGATGGGGTCCCCTGGGACTGAGGCGCTGGGATGAGGACGAAAGCAGGCTCTTAAAGGGAAAGTACATGTGTGGCAGGGGCATGGCCCGTGTGGATCACAGCCTGGCCTCAGTAAAGGGACAAGCCCTAGACCCAGGTGCCTCATACGCAGCCAGCACTCCACTGTGTCGACCCTAAAGCTGCTCCTCTTTTCACGCAGGGAGTAAATGACTAGTCTTGTGGGGAGTTAACAGAGGGAAGGTCCTCAGAGCCCCTCCAAGCCTGTCCCCACACTCTACGGATGAGAAAACAGGCTGCACAACCAGGTCCTAGGGGAGCTGGAGGTAGAATCCC